CAAATATAAATTGTGGCGGGTGAAATCGCGGCCATCTAGCAGCAAAAAATTATTCCGGGGTGGAAATAAAGGCTGTTTCTGAATGTCGTAATGGTGATTAATAAATTCTTAAGAATGTCTGAACAGTCAGAAGGCGAATTCTACAAGAAAGCGGAGGGACCCTCGATTCAAGATACAACACATTGTTGGCAACTGTTTTGGGAAGGCCAAGGCATAAGCGCAAAGCTTCTCTTTCCAGAAGAATTAGAGGCCGCAACTTGTAAGCTGGAACTCCAGAGAAAAGTACACAACCAAATTCCAAAATGGAACGAACATACACGCGATATATCATTAATAATGTGTCTCTTCTCATACCTATGCGGTAGTTGCTTAGCCTACGTAATATGCCAATGGCCCGCACACCTTTTCCGGTGATATATTCGATATGAGGTCGCCAGTTAGGCGATGTGTGATAAATTACTCCAAGGTATTTAACAGATTCCACCTGTGGTATATCGTCATGATGGTAAGACAGAGAGATGTTCACAGGGTATTGCAGCGGGAAAACAAGGAGGGCACATTTACTCGGATTAAGTAAAAAGCTGTTGCCATCGAGCCAGCTCTCCAATATATTAAGGTAAGTCTGCAGCCGTTCATATAAGGTCTGAATGTTACCTGCCATTGGAAAAAATGCGATATCGTCTGCATAAACATAAGTTGTTATATCCTGTTTACGTGGAATGGTGCTCATTAGTAAATTAAATAGCACCGGGGAAAGCACCAAGCCTTGCGGTACTCCCCTCGTTTGGGTATGAGTAGATGATGAAAACCCATCTTTAAAACATAAAATTTCCTGTCTGCGAGAAAATTGTGAACCCACGCTACTATGTATGATGGAAAATCAAGGTATTCCAATCGATCTATCAAAATACAGTGCTCCACGGTATCATATGCTTTAGCGATGTCTAAGGTAACTAAAGCAGCATATTTTTTATGTAGCCGAGCTAATTGAAGCCTACTTTCTAAGTCAACGTGGGCATCCCAAATTGAACAACCAGCCCTGAACCCAATTTGACAAGGACTTAGAATTGACCTCATGGTAATAAGTTCATTAATTCGTATATTGATGATTCTCTCAACGAATTTCACTAAGTTTGATGTCAGTGCGATCGGCCTAATGTTATCCAACGTGTATGCATCATTTTCATTTTTTAGCAACAATACAATTTTGGCATGTTTCCATTCTGGAGGTATCCATGCGTTCCCTAAAAAATAATTCACTAGTTCTAGCAAAAGATTAGGCAATTCCTGGAGCAAACATTTCAACATAGAGTTCGTTATCCCACCTGGTCCGGGAGCCGTCCACAGTAAGCATAATACTGTCTGATTCAATTCAGCTAAAGAAACTTCTGGAAATTCATGCAAGCTTACCAGAACGCACTGAATAGCCAAAAAATTAGCAGTGGAGCGGCGTTCTAAACCTTGCGCTATGTCTTCTAGAGAGGTGTTCATTTCTACCGGCGTTAAGACACATGACTGCAACGTTAAAGGTGCTGGCAGTACTTTTCTTGTCCGAAGATAAGCGAACAAAGCACGCTCAATTTTTTATTTAGAAAGATAATCAAAATGTCTACTGTCATATTCTTCTTTCGCGCGGTTCACTGTACGCTTAAATATGCCAGCAAGGAATTGATAGTCTGTCCAGTTTGTTGGGCTCTGATTAAGAAGAAGTTTTTTTCCAAGCGGCTTTTCGTCTTCTATAATCGCGCGTACACTCATCGTTCCACCAACGAGTGGAGGATCGTTTATTGGATGGAATAGAAAGTTCAGAATTTTTTCTAGATCCCTCCAGCATTGAACCAATCGTAGATGCAATCTCCTTAGTACTGGCATTTCCAAGCTTGGAAATAGCAGAACGGAGGCAGGCTTAAAATTTGCTATGATGCTATGAAATTTGCTATGAATTTGCTATGTACCCCTTCTGTACAAATTAGATTATTTGCAGACGATTGTGTTTTGTTCCGGGATATTAACTCTTTAGATGATCAAAATGAACTTAACTCAAACCTTCATAATATTCATCTGTGGTGCAATGAGTGGGGAATGATCCTTAATGCAGAAAAGAGTGTCTGCATGCGTTTGACACGTAAGAAAGTTCCACTAAATAATACGTACCAGCTTGGGTCTTCAACTCTTAGAGAGGTTACAAGCTACAAATATTTGGGCCTAACTATAACTAGTAATTTGTCTTGGAACATGCATGTAGACAACATATGTTCACCTGCTTTTCGGAAACTTGGTTTTCTAAGACATAAACTGCGTACCTGTCCTGCCAATGTAAAGCTTCTTAGTTATTATTCTTTTATACGACCTAAACTGGAATACGCCAGCATTGTATGGAACCCTTACACTAAGCTTAATATTAACAAACTTGAGCGGGTTCAAAGGAAAGCTGTTCGGTTTATATATTCAAAATACTCACCGTCGGATTCACCTTCCGCGCTGATGTCTGCAAACGACATTCAGACCCTTGAATCCCGCAGACGCGAACAACGGCTGGATTTCCTTCAATTATTACTTAATCAAAAACTCGCAATCGATTCATCGCCTTACTTATCTTTTCTGTCAACAAGGAACACACGACATCATCATCCCAATTTGCTAACCCCATTTTTTGCGAGAACCGATGCCTTTATGTATTCTTTTTTTCAGCGAACAGTGTCGGACTGGAACAAGTTATGCGAACCTCATTCATTGTAACGTATGTGTAACGTATTATAAAGTATGAGGTATGCAATGTATTGTCGTTGTTTGGCGTAAGTTACTACTTGTGTTGTGGAACATAGTGTAATGTAGTGTTGTAGAACCGGGTGTGTTGTTGCTTTGCATATTGAAGTTTATTGTAGTGTATAGAGCGAAGCGTGATGTTGTTACATAAGGAAGTGTATTGTAGCGTGTAAAACAAAGTGTGTTTTTCGTATGATGTACGTCATTACGCCTGTGGTATGCGTGACGTGCCCTTCCTGCTTGGACCACTTAGTGTCCGCAGTATGTATTAAATAAATAAATAAATAAATAAATAAATAAATAAATAAATAAATAAATAAATAAATGAGTGATGTATGTGCTTCTGCTGATGCACTTAGCCGCGTGGACGCTATCAGGCGCAGTCGTTCGAAAACGTCAGTTTCGTCGTTTTATCCAATCGATTTACGTGAGCTGGCAAGAGCACAGACAGACGACTCAGACCTATCTCACCTACGGGATACGCAAATATCACTGAAGCTGGATACAGCCTCTATTGAAAATATTCCAATCATTTGGGATACCTCTACAGGTACACAGAGACCATATTTGCCTATCGCTTATCGCAAAAAAATATCCGATTCTTTGCACAACCTTTCAAACACTGGAATTCGTGCAACTCAAAGGCTGATCAAATCGCGCTTCGTCCGGTGCCACATAAATGCTGACGTTCGAGACTGGGTATGTGCGTGCACACCATGTCAGCGTGCCAAAGTACATTGTTACCCGGCACTCCCCCTTCAGCGTTTTCTGCAGACTGATCAACTTTTCGCAGTGGTCCACATCGACATCGTTGGCCCCCTTCCCCCTTGTCAAGGTTACCGGTATATATTGACTTGTGTTGACCACTTTACTCGATGGCCTGAGGCTACGCCTATCCCCGATATCACAGCAGCTACAGTGGCCGATGCTTTCGTCTCTACTCGGGTGGCACAATTTGGCTGCCCCACAGCAATCGTCAGTGACCGCGGCCGCCAGTTCGAGTCATCGCTTTTCAAGAAACTTCTCAAGCTGCTGGGAGTGGCACGACTGCTAACTGCCTCTTACCATCCACAAATAAACAGGCTCGTAGAACGTTTCCATCGTCACCATCGCCAGCACTTACAGCACATGGTCCCACGGCCAAGTGGGTCGAGGCTCTATTGTTGCTGGGAATCCGATCTGCGTTCAAGGAAGACCTGTCGTGCGCCAATGCTGAGCTTGTTCATGGTGCCCCTCTTCGTTTACCGGCAGATTTCCTTGATGCCACTAAACTCAACTAGACACCCCCAGACCAAGCGAGTACTTGACAAACTGCGCGATATCTTCCGGAACCTGCGACCACAGGCAACGCGAGCAAGCCACTCACGGACTGTTTACGAGAATCCAGACCTCCACAAAGCGACGCATGCCTTCGTGTGCAGCGGCCCCGTGCGCAGTACCCTACAACCACATTATCTTAAGCCCTTCCGTGTACTCGAACGCCGTTCATCATCTTTGATCATGGACCTTAACGGAAAGCGCAATGAAATCGCACTCGAGCGGCTGAAACCAGCAAACGTATGGCCCGGTTTTTTGCATTTCAGCATCTGCTACCTGTCCTCTTACAATGCCTGCCAATCTTTACAACCAACACGAAGTACCTCAGGCTTGCCGCGTTCACTGGAGCTAACTGACTGTTCGTCACTTCTGCTTCCTTTCTCAGGGGGGAGCCCTGTGGTGAGCGTCTGAACACGCGCCTCCACACCCCCCGGTTATATAAACTATGTGCCCTCAACTTAACTCTGTGTGTCAACTCTTACACTGTACTTTTGTATATACATAAAACATCCTCCCTTGTACGCTTTTCCTCTTTCTCTCCTGACGGCGGCCCGTACTCGCGTGTCGCTGCAGCTCGGCCCAGGCAAAGAAAAAACAACTATACCGAACGGACGTCTTGTCTGGCAGTCAGTCAATCCGCCCCATGCCCACTATACATTCAAGGGTTTAACATGCCGGAACCATAATACAACTATAGGACTTGCGACAGTATGAGACTTGGGATTAATTTCAACCACATAAGGTTCTCTGACATGCACTTAGTCCATGCATAACTACTTCCAGCTCGCCTCCGAGAAGAAAATGTGTGCACTACAAGTAAACCACGCGCTTCCTAGCTTGCTCACAACAGTCTGATAATGTGGCTTAAACTTCAAGACAGTGCCCAGAAACACTGGCCACTCTTTTTGGGCACTTGCCTTTGGTTGGCCCTTGACATGGCCCGAAGAGTGGTTCCACTGGGTGCTCTGACTACCAGGAGAGAGAAGTTGGTCCTCCATGGCCCGCATGGTCAAAGCTCTTTCCATAAATGCTGAAAGCTTAGGTAACAGATCTCTGTGGCTTTGCAACTAGCACTAACTCACCATAAAGGTACTAAGAGGCCCACGTAATACTTTTTTTTCTTTGATGGGGGGAGGGTTAAGACGGAATGCGAAACAATACCAAGCAGGTACAGTATAAAAAGTGCAACGGACACGCAAGCTTTCTCTTAAAAAAATGTGCATGAGGGTTTCGCCCATGCCACTGTTCAGTATTTGCCGAAACTAGAATAGAACAAGCCGACTGATAAAATTGCAACGCAGGATCTGCTATCACATTTTAAAATGTTCCTTAGGTTGAAATCCTGTTGCTCTGAACGAGATTGAGGGTGTTGTCACTGTTTGACTGAGTGATTTGAAAATAGTTGAAAAAGCCTTTTTATTTTTGAAGTGCATGAGTGAACGGACTTTTGTGCACAGTTCCCCCACCCCCTTAGTGCTACGTCATGCAAGCGTGTCGCCAATCATGTCATGACGTCATCGCCATCACCGAGCACATAAAAACGAGACACGCAAAATAAACCTTCCTTGTTCTTGCTTGGTTACTGTGCCGTTCACTCGCGACGTGACAGTGGCGACGAGGCACGAATCGACGCGGTGGGAGGAGGCTTTGAAGCGCGGCTGCTGAAACAGGCAGCGATGGCGCCGGGACAGGCGCTTGCATTGACGGAAGAAGAAGGAGGCTGGTCCGCCTACAAGGTACGCTTGGAAGCACACTTTCAAGCACAGGAAATCACAGACGAGGCAAAACAACGAGCCCTGCTGGTGGCGGTTCTGTCCAATGGCGCCATCAAAGTACTTCAGGGACGAGCCACCCCAAAAGCGTGAACGACCTCCCCTACAGCGACGTCATCAAGCATCTGCAGAGCCACTACGAGCCGCAGGTCAACGAAACAGCAGCCAGCTACCGATTCTTCACGCGCACACAGCCAGAAGGTGAGCGAATGCGGGATTTTGTAGCCGCCCTTCGCCGCATGGCCGAAGACTGCAATTTCGGCGACATGTTGCACCGCATGCTGCGGGACCGCATTGTATGTGGTGTTCGAGACGACGACGTAAGACGTCTGTTGTTGACCCGCGGTTCCCTGACTTTGAAGGAAGCAGAAGACTTCGCAATGGTTGCTGAGGCCGCCGCGGAAAACGCGCAGCACATGCAGCCACTGCCCTCCCCGGTAGCCGACACAACGAATTTTGTCCGGCCGGGCCTCTCACGTTCAAAGTCGAAGAAAGCAAGTGGGCTATCTCGCGATGAGCATCGGCCTTGCACCCGCTGTGGTGCATCCTCGCACCAAGCGGATAATTGTCGTCATCTCCGAACAGTGTGCCATCGATGCCGGAAACGCGGCCACTTGGCACGAGTGTGTAGAGCGTCGGACGAAGACACTAATCGGAGGCAACAAGCGAACGCCCTTTCGCAAGACCCACAAGAGAGTTCGGAGGACTGCGAAGCTTTATACACGCTGACTGCGTATCAAGTGACGGACAGCGCGCACGTAAAGCCTATTTTGCGCCAGATAAGTTGGAACGGAGTGCCGCTAACGATGTTGGTAGACACGAGTTCACCTGTGAGTGTTATTCCGCGGTCAGTGTTCCAGCGACACCGAGGAAAATGGTCACGTTTGCAAGCCACAACAATGAAGCTGTCGTGTTTCAAGGGCCCACTTCCTATCAACGGAAAATTGCAACTCAATGCGACCATGAGTGGCGCGACCATTCAGGCCGAACTTTTCGTCATCAACTGTCCGGGACCGATGCTTTGCGGCCGTGACACTATCCGCAGCTTCAATACGGCAGGCGTGCCGGTACTCACTGGAAACGAGGTGGCGTGTGTGCAGGCGGAAAATGCGGACAGAATGGTGGAAACTATGCTATCAAAGTACAGTGATGTCATTGCTCCAGGGTTGGGTTTGCTCCGAGGGCCACCGGTACAACTGACCGTCAAAAAAGGCGCAAGACCCCGGTTTTGTAAGGCGCGGACGGTGCCGTATGCGCTCAAATAAATCGTATCAGCAGAGTTAGATCGGCTGGTAAACGAAGGCGTGTTATCCCCGGTAACATCGGCCGAATGGGCCACACCCGTGGTGCCCGTAGTCAAGAAGGATGGACAGGTGCGATTATGCGGCGACTTCCGCCTTACGGTGAACGCAGCTACCATAATGGAGCAATATCCGCTGCTGCGGGTTGACGATACCTTTGCGAACCTTAACGGCGGAGAAGCTTTCAGCACATTGGACTTGAGAAACGCCTATAATCAGCTGCCCCTTGACGAGGACTCGAAGAGGCTAGTCGTTTTTAACACGCACAAGGGTCTCTACTGTTTCAACAGGCTGCCGTTCGGAGTGTCGTCAGCGCCAGCAATCTTCCAACGGCGCATGGAGGCCGTGCTCAGCGGGATCCCCGGCGTGCAGGTATATCTGGACGACATAATTGTATCGGAAAAGGCAAACGACTGCAGGATCCTAGAGCAAGGGCTACAGCGCCTGAGGGAACACGGCCTGCGCCTACGACGGGAGAAATGCAAGTTCAGGCAAGAGCAAGTCGCCTTTCTCGGACACTGCATCGACAGACACGGCCTACGCCCCAAAAGCGACAACATCACGGCCCTGCTCGACGCCCCCCAGCCCACTTCGGTAAGAGAACTGAAAGCTTTTTTAGGTCTGTTAAATTACTACGGCAAGTTTTTGTCCAATGTGTCGACCTTACTAGCGCCCTTATACGCATTGTTGGCAAAGGGCGTAAAATGGGTCTGGGGCAGACAACAGCAGAATGCTTTCGAGGCAGCTAAACAAGCAGTGAAGAATGCAAAACTTTTGGTGCATTTTGACCCAAGCAAGCCCATTCGCCTAGAGTGCGACGCGTCAGCAGTAGGCCTGGGAGCCGTGTTGTCGCATCGAGTTGGAGGAATTGACTACCCTATCGGATTCAGGTCACGAACATTAACAAAAGCCGAGAAAAATTATTCCCAGTTGGAAAAGGAGGCCCTCACCCTCGTATTTGGCGTGACCAGGTTCAGAGACTATCTGTATGGGACCCACTTCGAACTAGTAACCGACCACAAACCGTTAACCGGACTGTTCAGTCCAGACAAGGGAATTCCGCCGATGGCCGCTGCCCGCATTCAGCGTTGGGCCCTGCTGTTGGGTGGATATCGGTACAGCCTAACCTATCGTAAAGGATCTGAAAACGTAAACGCAGATGCCTTCAGCTGACTCCCTATTCCTCGGGGGCAGCCCGATGACGTAAAAGACGACGCTCCCGAGTATGTATTATACGCTGAAGCTGTGAACGCGGCACCCATCAGTGCCAAAGAGTTGGCGGTTCTAACCATCCGTGATGCTATGTTGCAGCAGGTGCGAAAGTGAATCCTGCAGGGCTGCCCGCAGTACCTGACAGAGTCCGAGGAGCGTTTCCGGCCGTTCTTCCAGAAAAAGGATAAGCTGACGGTGAATCAGGACCTCATTTATTGGGGACATAGAATCCATCAGCGGCTGCTGGGAGTCTTTTGAGGCTCCTACATGAAATACATCCAGGGATGGCGGCAACGAAAAACCTTGCTCGAACCATTTTTTGGTATCCAGGGCTGGATGCCGACATCGAAAGGATGGTACGCGAATGTGAGAGGTATGCTCAAACCAGTGCAATGCCTCCTGCGCAGGTTCCAGCGCCATGGCCAGAAACGGGCCGGAAATGGTCTCGAGTGCACATCGACTACGCAGGCCCCGTCGAAGGGCACATGCTACTGGTGGTCGTAGATGCTGAAACAAAGTAGCTGGAGGCCATATCGAGGCGGAGTACGACATCAGAAGCCACCGTGGAAGCGTTGAGGCCCATATTTGCCAAGTTCGAACTGCCACATACACTTGTTTCAGATAATGGGCCACAGTTCGTCTCAGCCGAGTTTCAGAAGTTCGTAAGAATGAACGGTATCAACCACGTGACGACGGCGCCTTACCACCCGCAGTCGAATGGCCTGGCGGAACGCGCGGTTCGCACGATCAAGGAAGGCCTTCGAAAAAGCCAAGGGGGTGGCACATTCATTAAACGTCTCAGTCAGTTTTTATGCCGATACCAACGCACACCGGTAAAGACTGGGAAGTCTCCGTCCGAACTACTGCTGGGTTATCAGCTACGGACCAGGCTAGACTGTTGCCTCCCGAGTGCAGGCGGGGAACCGCGTCTTGAGGAGCGCTCCTCCACCATGCCGTTCTGTGCAGGACAGCCGGTGTGGCTGAGAAGTTTCCACAACCGGCCAAAATGGTTGCCGGGAGTGTTCACCAGTACCCAAGGGGCTCGGATGGTGACTGTCTACGCCGGACGGCGAGCAACGTCGTCATGCGAACCAACTGCGGCTACGCACTCCGCAGGACTCGAACACAACGCAGCCAGGGAGCGCTACAACATCTACCACCACCGCTAACGAAACCTCGCCGATGCCAGCCGGCATGGCTGACCCCACGCCGGCGGGGTCGCCGCCCTCTAGCCAACCTGAGGCAGCGCCACCGCTTTGCCGGTCCAACAGGCTACGGCGACCACTTCAAAGGTTCAACTGGTAAAAGGGGGAGATGTGCTACGTCATGAGAGCGTGTCGCCAATCATGTCATGACGTCATCGCCGTCGCCGAGCACATAAAAACGAGACACGCAAAATAAACCTTCCTTGTTCTTGCTTGGTTACTGCGCCGTTCACTCGCGACGTAACACTTAGACTTTGTTTATTGTGTGCTTACACATGTACCACATTGCAAAAATCGTTTAAGACTTCAACACTTGGAACCAGACGGTTCCAAATAACATATTGCATTACAATACCTTTCTCACTGCCTTAAGGCCCATATTTACAATGCTACCTTAAGACTTCTTCCATTGTTTATATGGTCTTGCCTTAAATTAACATGCTTCCTGAACAAATGAAGAGAGCATTCACAAATCAACCTCAAAGTTTCCTTTCGCCCTGCTTACCTTCCTTGTGCCCCAAATGGTCACTATGGGCACAGAAACAGTAATAAGGGCAAATTATAACTACAATGATGACTTGGGAACTTCCTCATCAAAAAAGTCAGAGGATGCGATAAGGAAGATGAGACATACAGATAAGATTGGTTTGCAAATAAAAGTTTTGAAGTACACACCTCTGCTTGGACGAACTAGCCGAAAACAAGCAGTGGTACACACACTATCGCTAAAATTATGGGAATAAATGCACATAAGAGATGGCCAATGCTCTTTATCATTACAAAAAACTTAATTATAATTCGAACTAACGAGCTCAGCTTGTCGCTTACATACTGACACACACATGGGTGGTGATGCGATATATACAGCAGATAGGAATACTAAACTCTTATATGCTTAATCGATGTAATCCTGCAATTGCAGCCATATCCTTAAAAAAACAGGATGAAAAATTGTTAAATCCCGCTCATAACACTATTTCATTTCACTACCGCGTTCGATCGCAATCGTCTTCCCTAAGTGCACAGAAAGCAGGCACAGCTTCACAAACGACGACTACTACGAAAAAAAAAGCTCCAAAGTTGTCTCCATGCGTACGTACGAACGTGTACTACGCACATTACTTTTAAGGCATGTGCACGACGCAGTCAACAGGCAACAGTTCACCGCGTTGTTCACAGGAGGGAGCTTCGCGAGAAACATAACAAATGCGATCAACAGTAGCTTCAAACAGTCGCCGCCACTCGTAATCGCCTCATCTCGAGAGGCGGAACAGGCTTTAGAAGATAACACCACGCGTAATGACAAGCGAAGGCGCAGTCCTCAAGCGCCCACAGTACAACACATCGAGCCCTCACAAAGATGGCACCGAGCGCGCATCATACCTTTTCGGCTTCTGGTACCCGAAACCTGCCCAAAACCTTCCAGAAAGCTTCCACGACTAAATTGTCCTGGGAGCGTCTGGCAACCCTCGGGCTCCCCGCGGGTCGCCAGAACGTCCAACCCGAGAAAAACGAACGCCAACCGGAAGTGAGCCGCGGGGGGGGGGGGGGGGGACGGAGCAGCCCGAGAAAAACGAGCGCGCTCTGGCTGGCTCTGGCAGCCCGCGGGTAGCCAGAAGTCGAAAATCGAAGAGTCCAAGTATTAAGGACGACGGGAAAAAGAGAATAGAGTCGCAGCAGGTAGTGCGCAGCCCCCCCCCCCCCAAACTAGGGGAAGCGTAGCGTCCCCGTGGTGGCCCGCTGTCGACGCGGCACGATCAGCTGTGAAATAAAAGGGGGGGGGGCAGCGCCCCACCTGCTGCGACTAAATTCAGTTTTACCCGTCGTCTCTAATACTGAGACGCGATCTCTTGATTGCACAGCTGCGCACCCAGCAAGAGAACGCGCCCCGACTTCTGCAAGGCGCGGTTCATTCCGTTAATTAAAACGCCCAGCGCCGCTCATGCAGTCGCGAACAGCTTCATCGCACACGCACTCGCAAAATGCACGGCGGACGCCGCGTCGTTGCTTCCCTAACGTAGAGACACAATCTCTTAATTGCACAGCAGCACACAAAGCAAGAGAACGCGTCGCAACGTCTGTGAGGCGCAGTTCATTGTTAATCAAAACGGCCAGCGTCCCTTGCCGGGATCGGCAAGGGTCGCTCATGCACTTGCGACCTCACCTCACGGAGAAGTCACAACTACAGGGGCTAATTTCTCGGCCAAATTTGAGGGCAGTCTGGCAACAACCACCCCTAACTCTGGCAACTGATTTATGCAACGCCAAACAGCACCTCCCTCGTCTTCCTTGCAAAGCGCAATCGACCAGGTAAAGTAACAACAGCGCGGGCCCGGTCACCCTACCGGCTATCAATCGCCAGGACCGGGGCCAGGACGACACAACTTCCAAAACAACAACAACAACAAAAAAAAGAATTCGTGGCGTTCACAGTACGTTGAGCTTGTTCGCGCGAGAAAAACATGGCGTATATGTTTTCAGCTTTAGGGCCAAACCTCATAAGCACGAAAATGCACGCGACAGCGACGAGCGACGAAACACGGCGTTCGCGCGACGTGTCGCGTGCTCGTTTTCGCGCGATCGCTCGGTTCTCCAGATTTGGAAACCGTCGCTCATCGCCCGGAAGTGCTGGGCTTAAGCAGCCAATAGCGAAATACCGGAAAAGACAAAGACTACATAGGTGCACGTGACCCTGCCCGAGTCACGTATGCGCAACAAGAAATAACGCAATGTTTATTACGCATGTGCATATAAAAAAGTGCTGCAAGGCAATAATAAACACTTTCCGTTTCATTACACAACAATATATCTTATTTTTAAATTGCATACCGCTCACTACGCGGTTTTCTTGGTGCGAGTAGACGGTCTCATGCCAGCAACAGTGGAATTCGCTCGCCGAAGCTGTCGCGTGAATGAGGTTTGCCTGCGCTAGCGACTGATCGCGCGAAGCCGATCTACGTCGCGTCGCTTGTCACTGTCACGTGCATTTTCGCGCTTATGAGGTTTGGCCTTTAGTTCTTAACAAGCCATAGCCACGTTTTCAGGCTAGGAAATATACATTTCGCGCGATGCGTTGGTCGCTACAACAATGCACTTTTCTCTTGAGGTTCCGTCGTCCCACCATTAGGTGTCCACTGCGGTCAACGGACCAATGGGCGCACAGCGTTGTTATTTTCTCGTCCCATTTTGAGTTAGGGTCTGCGTGCTTTTTCTGATGGCGCAAACTTCAGGTGGCTGGCGTGACCTCCACTTGTCCCCGAAATTGGCGCACCTGAGAAAATTTTAAGGCTGGCTGGGCATTATGAAGTAGCGTGGCGCAAGTAGGCGTAAAAAACGGGAATTGTATCAAATTGGTACAATAGGCGCAGCTGGTGCACCCCTGCATTATACACTCCGTGCACGGCGACTGGCTCACCGCCCCACTGTCGTCAGAGCAGACAGACGTTGAGAGTCCGAGCGGTACCAAACGGTCGGCCAACGCCCGCTAGCACGTAGAAACCGACGAAAGTTTTGTTCACATTGTATCGCAGTGGTGGTTAACTACAGGCTTCTAAGCGTGCCCATTCTTTTTTTTTCGCCTGTACTTGAACACCACTCCGCTATTAAATTATTGTTGAAAGTCAGCGCTCTTTTCTGTCCTTGTTGGCTGCTTCCGTAGTTACGCTGTAACTACTTATAGTTTGAGCTGTTCGTATATTCAGTTAATCCCTTTAAGAAGAACGAAGTTTCCTGCAGACAGTCACTTTTGCAGCAAGAACCGATTCCGTCCAGCAGAAATTTAGTGGACAAAGAAAGAAGTCACTGAAAATCGCACCTCCATGCCGATAATGGATCTTTATCACTCACCGGACCAACGACCAGCTCCTCTAAAGAAAACAATGTCTTCGCGCCAGCTTCCCCAGCAACCTCTTCGGTGCACGAAGCGAACACAGCGAATACGCCGCAGCAACACGAAGCCCAGGCGGCAGTAGGGTTGACCTTGATGACTGTCGACTTCACGACGAACACGCACGTCGACACGAGGAACCGAGACACCGTGTGCTGTTCTGCGCCTTACGCCAGCGTTCGGACGGACTGCCGCGTCGACAGCTACGCTCTTGAACGACTCCTCTCCTACGGGGGTTCCAAGCCGACTGCGACTCACTCCCTCTCCCACATCCGGGACTCTGGCGTCGCGACAGCCTTGCTGGCGCCAACCCCTTTTCACACAGAGGCGCCATCAGCTACTCCGTTTTGGCGGTCTTCGAGTGGATGGAGCGGTTGGGTAGCTTGCGAAGCTGATGCGGGCTTGCGTGCTGACAGGATTGATTGATTGA